GACAACTTAAGAAAGTGTTAAATACCTTTCAATGCATTGTATAAGCTAGGTTTTCCCAGTTAGATTTTGGGTTTTTTTGCCTTTTGTAAAAGGGTGGGGTGTTGAGAGCCCCCCAGATCTGTGCTTTCACAGCCTTTTGAAAGATCTTACATGTAAACTGAAAAGGAATTTGATTTATGCATTTTTCCAGTACACCAAGTTTCATAACTGCTGTTTAACAAAATAATAAATCAATAATGGTAGTGAGAAAATTTTAAAGGGCCACGTTCAGGATCTAAAAATCAATAACATAGAGGTTCTTGTAAGTCTACAGGGCTTAAGATATTGATTTGTTTGGGGGAACTACAGTCCTGCCTGAACATTTTACTGGTTTAATTCAGTCAAGGGTGGTAGAGATTGAAAAAATACTAAAACTAATTAGATTCCAAAGTGACAGTAAATTTCATGTAAAATTTACATTCATGGGCTTTCTATTGAAACAATCCTATTTGTTGAAAAATAATGTGATTGAAAGGAACCTAAAGAGATTATTTAACTTACTGATTTTGCCACATGTGAACATTATGAGACTTACAATGACTTTCTATCCAATAAATATATCTGGAGGCTATGCAGGTAAAGAAGTTAAGAAATGAATTTTTATAGCTCACATAAATGAACCCAAAAAAGAAAACATTGTTAAACTATCTTAACTAACATATGCAGGGATTTTTTTAAAACTTAAAACTCTAAGTATATAAGGTAAACATTACTAATAAAATTGGCATAATTGGTTTCTGCCATTTTATCAAATTTATTTTTGCATCTATATATTAACTAGTGGATATTCTAATGTTAATGATAATCTCTCTATGAATCCAACTAAAAACAAAAAATTCTATTTTTCTAGATATAGGGAACTTTACATTAAAATGAACTAATCATTTCTATTTAAGAAATAAATATCACCAAAGTAAACATTACCTACATAAAATTTAATCCAAATTGAGAGAAAAGTAATAATTTAAAAAACTAATATCGTTTTCTAGAGATCCTCATGATAAGTATGTCATGGAACATATTACCACAATCCTTACGTTAATGAAACATTTCTATATTAATTGCTAGATGTCTTTTTTAACATAAAAATACCAAACAAACCTTTTTATGGAGAACTAACATTAGACACTAATTTGACTAGTTGTCTCCCCCCAGCCATCTGTAAGCAGAATACATGTTTGTGGTTTTCTGGTTTTGAAAAACTTCATTCCCATATTGTAAGCACAGGGGAATATACAGACACCTTGATGCAGAGTAAAATCACTTCTCCTGTTTTTCAAATCCCTGTATCTGCATGCAGCCCAATGCATAACCAAATACGCTGCCCAAGCTCCTGTTCAGTTTTGTTAGGGAGGGTCCTTAAAAAGAAAGGTCCAATCAAAACAGTGCTTCCAAAGGGATCAGCTAGACCAGCTATATTCAAGGAGGCGAGGTCAGCTCAGAAGGTTATGGTGATTCTTTGGGGGGATTTCAAAGGAATAATCTTTTCCCCCCCTTACTTTTATTGGAGGCTCTTCATCTCTTATCACAATCCATACATTCCTCCAGTATGTCAAACACATTTGCACATATGCTGCCATCAGCATTTTCAAAGCATTCTCTTCCCACTTGAGCCCCTGATATCAGCTCTCCATTTCTTCCCTCCCTCCCCCACCAACCCTCCCTCATGAATCCTTGATAAGTTATAGATGACTATTTTCATATCTTGCATTGTCTTTCATCACCCCTCACCCACTTTTCTGTTATAAGTCCCCCTGGGAGGGGGTTATAGATTGATCCTTGTGATCCATTCCCCTTTTCTTTCCCCACCCTCCCCTAATCCTCCTGGTATCTCTGCTCTCCTTGTTGGCCCTGAGGGGTTTATCTAT